ACAGACATAATAGTAATAGTTTTCACGCCACTAGTCAACCGAAAAACGTCAATTCATGCTTTCTGTGTGGCGAAGCACACATTCTGCGGCGCGGTACCAAATTCCTCGCCAAAGATTGCTTTGAGAGAAAGTCTATCGCGGACAAAGCAAAACTTTGTTTAAATTGCCTGAGCAGGGCTCATTCAGTTTCCCGTTGCACCAGCACGAAGAACTGTCTACAGTGTAGCCAAAGACACCACACTCTTCTACATTTTCCAATGTCAAAGCCCCCACAGCAAAATGAATCCACTCGATCACACGAGGGTGGCAAATCTCAAATAGCTTTAAACCCATCAGCTCAAACCTTTCAAGTTGAAAGCACTCAGAGTCAGACCACGACTCATCAAAACCCCACGTCATCCAGGTTAACGCACACTGCTCAGCTTCTTACAGAACCGTCACAGAAGCAGACTCGTAAGGTGCTTTTAGCCACCGCTCTCGTCACGATCAAGAACGACGGCACGGGTCAGTCCATGGTAGTACGTACGCTATTAGATCAAGGCTCTGAATGCACACTTATTTCAGAGCATGCCGTTCAAACACTCTGTTTGACACGCAACCGTGCTTCGGCAGATATATCTGGGGTGGGCAGCAACGTCGCGCATCGTTGTAAGCACACTGTGAATTTCACAATGCACTCATATGTGAACCCTAACTACCACGTCGCGGTCGATACCGCCTTTGTTTTAAAGGCGCTCACCAATAAATTGCCAAGTCAAACAATTGAGCCAAACCAATGGGCTCATATTCGAGGACTGCAGTTAGCAGATCCTACGTACTACCAGCCACGTTGTATAGACTTACTTCTGGGTGCCGACATGTTCGCTAACCTTTTATTGCCGGAAACACGTATTGGAGGACTTTATGAACCAATAGCCCAGCGCACCCATCTGGGATGGATATTGTCTGGCAATACTACTTCCACCCCCAAAGTTGATGCTGCTAGTCTTCATTGCAACCATGTCACTCTCGAGCTGGAATCACTTGTACAACTTTTTTTCGAAATCGATCAAGTACCGACCGAGAGATCTCTCTCGCAAGAAGAAAACTGGTGTGAAACACATTTTCAACAAACGCATATGCGCCAACCAAATGGGAAATATTTAGTGAGACTTCCATTGAAAAATTTGTTTGATGAATCTCAAACCCTCGGTAAATCCAAAAAAATTGCACTCAACCGCTTTCATTCACTGGAGCGAAAACTACAACGCAACGATGAATTGCGAGCCCGGTATGAAGGGTGTATTCCGGAATATTTCACCCTGAATCAAATAACTCCTGCTACGACAACTGAGGAGCAGCATTCCGTCAAACTTGCCTCAAGTGCTCCAACAGTCGCATCATGTGTATTACCTCACCACGCTGTGATCAAAGAGGAAAGTCTAACCACAAAGCTAAGAATCGTGTTTGACGCCTCGTGCAAGACTAGCAATGGCAAATCGTTAAATGACGTACTGTGTGTGGGACCCGCACTTCAAAATTATCTGCCAGCAGTAGTTTTAAATTGGAGAAAACACAAATTTGAGTTTACATCTGATATCCAAAAAATGTATCGGTGCATAGACATGCACACAGATGACTCGCAATATCAACGCATTTTGTGGCGAAACGAAGCAAATGAAATTCAGGAGTATTGTCTCACGACAGTCACATTTGGGACTGCTTCCGCTCCATATACCGCGATACGAATCCTCCACCAACTGGCTGAAGACGAAAGTACATCGTATCCGTTAGCAGCACCTGTCCTTCGGAATGAAATGTATGTTGACGACGTACTATCTGGCGGTCCCTCCGTTGAGATCGCCACCGAAATTCGCAAACAAGTAACCTTAGCATTGCGCTCCGCTGGCATGGAACTTCGAAAATGGAGCAGCAACTCATCGGCGGTGCTGGACGGTATTCCCACCGAAAACAGGTCAGACAGTAATGCCTTACAGTTAAATAGCAGCGATACCGTTAAAACCCTTGGCATTCTGTGGCAACCGAACAAGGACGTTTTTAAATTCCGGCTCAACTTCGAAATTGATTTTACTGCCACCAAACGGTCAGTGCTCTCAACTATAGCTCGTCTGTACGACCCACTGGGATTAATTGCACCGGTTATTGTAGCAGCCAAAATCATCCTGAAATCGGTATGGTCCTTTAAGGTACAACGCGATGAGCACACGTTCACACCATTGGCATGGGATGAAACGCTACCAACAAATCTAAATCACCAATGGCAACGTTTTCTAAATACTGTATCGGAGGTGCCCTGCATCACGGTGCCGAGATGGTTGAACTATGAGCCAAATCATGTTAAATCATTACAACTCCATGTATTTTGCGATGGCTCGACAGCTGCATATGCAGCATGTGTTTATCTACGGGTAGAATGCAGTGATGGTAAAATTTTTACAACGCTTCTCACCGCAAAAAGCAGAGTCACCCCGACAAAACCGTTGACTATACCACGCGTCGAGTTGTGCGGAGCAGTGCTGGCGACTGAATTAATGGAATGGACCAAAAAATCATTGTCATTACCGTATACAAATCTAAAAACATTTTATTCGACCGATGCTACGATTGTGCTTTACTGGATAAATGGCGATCCGAATCGATGGCAAACATGGGTTTCAAACCGAGTTGGCAAGATACTACAAACCTCTTCACCGTCACAATGGAGTCACGTCGATACTATGCAAAATCCAGCTGATTGCGGAACCCGAGGCCTAACACCAGTCAGTTTATCAATTTTCAGGCTATGGTGGTCCGGCCCAGAGTGGTTGCTGTCAGATGAAGACTCCTGGCCGAAATTTAGCACGACTGAATTGCACATCAACGAAGAAATAGCTGAAGTTAAAAGGAAGCCGCTTCAAGCAAATTTCACGATTTGTCAAGACTCCGTTATTCTTCGGTACTCGTCGCTAACGAAGCCCGTACGCGTTTGTGCGTACATTCTCCGTTTCGTGCAGAATAGCCAAGTTCAGAGCTGTGCCCGCATAAGTGGACCTTTGTCGGTCACCGAGCTAAATCAAAGTCTAGCAAAGGTTGTCAGGCTCGTACAACAAGAAACATTCAACACCGAAGTACACAACGTTCGCAATAAAAAGCCTGTTCCACATAGAAGCAAGCTTACTAGCTTAACTCCGTTTCTTGATGAGCAGCAAATTCTTCGTGTGCGTGGGCGAATTCCGCGCTCTAATCTTCCATTTGATCAGGAGCACCCCATCATTTTACCAAGTAAGCATCATTTCACTAGTTTGGTTATCACTCACGCGCACTTAACGACATTACATGGTGGTGCGCAGCTTACCTTAACATATTTACGACAGCGGTTTTGGATAATAAATGCCAGACGCACTGTGCAAGAACAACTTCGAAAATGCATTAAATGTGTTAGAAATATGCCGGAAGTTGGTAGTCAACTGATGGGCGAACTTCCATTCCATCGAG